TTGGGATAACAGTTGTATGAGCCCCCAATAAAATGTTTAAAGAAAAAGAAAAAGGCCTCCCCTCAGTCTGCCCTGAGATGTGGCAAGAGAGACTTTTGTTTGCTCCGAGCTCTGGGGTGGAAACAAAAAAGTTTAAAATGTTCTTGAAAAAGAAATAAAAATTCCAAGTCAGTGTCAAGTGTGGGTGAATCTGAATGTTTCCTACTCAAAAGAGAAGCAATAGCCAGGTAAATAATTCAGGGAGAAAAAAAGAGTCGAGGACCCACATCTCTGAGGCCACATGGAAAGATACACTCTCAAGCAGTGGAATCAGTAGCGGGTGGTAGAGTGTGGGGCCACGGAGGCAGTACAGAGGGACACATTCCCTGGCACCGTCACACAGGGAAACACCACAGTGAGCCCCGATCCAGAGGTGGAGGCCGTAGGCAGGCCGGCACTGCTAGGGGAGGTGTTGTCCCAACGAGCAGCGGCATCACTGGAATTGATTTCACCTGCCGCTCAGGGTCACCCATCACCTCCTCCTTCACAACACCCGCCACTGAGTGGCTCAGAGGGCCTGTGCCATGGTCAGTGGGAGAGAGGAGGAGTGACAGGGAGCTGTCACTGTGGGCAGGGTCAGGAGCAATGAGACCACACAGCAAGACGCCTGGCTCTGCACCAGGGCAGCCAGGCTGCTTCACTCATGGTTGGGGGAAATGATTTGCTGCCCACTCAGGCCAAGGAAGGAGCGGGGGATTGTGGGAAGTGTGACCGCAGGGGTGACTGCACCGGGTGACACCACTTCTTATGATGTCACTGCTCTAGAGAAAGAAGCTCTGGGTGGCACAATGATTGTCACGCAATAACCAGCCAACAGAGGGGTTGTTGGCATCCACCAAGTCGTTCTGTGGGAGAAAGATCACTCTGTGGGGCAGTTCTAGTCGGCCACCTGGGGCACTTCGAGCCAGAATCTACTCAAAGGTCAGGCAACAGAAAGAGGTCCACGTCGGCTGGAATGGGGATTCCATAGGAAAATGACCCTGGTTGATGATGGGCTTATTCTTTGTTTGTTGCCATTAAATCAGTTCTAACTCATGGCAAACACATCTTAGCGAGGAAGGCAGGCAATAAAATACGCGACTCATTGAAATCCACAGTATGTTTCCTGGCGGTGAGGGCTGAGGAGAAATAGTAGAGAAAACAAAAGGAAGTGCCAATTTTTAGTTATTGTTTGCTTCGTACCAAAGCACCCCCAAATGTAATAGCCTAAAACAACAATTTAATCCTCGTTCATATTCTGGCCAAAGCAGTTTATGTGTCTCCCACATGGAAAGTGCCCTTGTCATTTCAGGCCACCCTTTGGAATCTTCTATTCACTGTCCGTGTCATCATTTCTTCTAGTCTTTACGTTTCTGTACGGTCAAGAGCAAGTTTCAGAGTCTCTTCCGACCTCCACTTGGGTCTCCCCTTTATTCCCTGTCTCCTTAATATATTTTGCTTTCTTCATGTGTGTTGCTATTGAAGTCTTCCCACCATTCGCCTGCTCTTTGGTCTTCAGTGTTGAAGGCGTCAGCCCTGTTTTGAGAGAGTCTCTGAATTCAAGTGAGCTATATTCAGAGTTAGACTTGTTTCAGTAATCTCAGCCCCACCCTGAACTTCTATATGAGCAAATACTGGTCTGTTTCACAAGCAGACCCCGGCCCTGTTTTGGCTGCGGATGTTGAGCTTCATTGTCTCTTCCCACAGAGTAGCCAACTTAATTCTTATGTATTCTATCAAATGAGGTCCACGTGGATTGTCGCCGTTGTCTGTTGTTGAAATAAGATCTTTATAATGAAGAAATCTTTGGTCTTGCAAAATTTTTTCCTGGTCTTGCAAAATTCTATCTGTGGTCTCTGGCACTGTTTTCTATCATAAGGGCCATATTTTCCAACTACCGATCCTTTCTGTCCGTCCAACTTTCACATTCCAACCACCACTAATTATCAATGTGCCTTGATTGCATGCTTGATCAATTTCAGACTGGAGAAATTGGTACAATTCTTCAGTTTCTTCAACACTGGCTTTAGCGGTTTGGGTATAAATTTGAGTAATGGCTGAATAACTGGTTTTCCTTGTTTATACACTATCCTATCACAGACAGCAATGTGCTTGAAGATAAATCTTGAAATGAGAGTGTCAGACTGGGCTCAATTCCCGCACTGTGTTTCCAGTGCTATCCCCCATAGTGCTATGAGCCAGTGAGGGGACATCATCGTGTGTCATGGGGGGTGGGGGGCAGCCCTGTGGTCCTCTCTGAGCATTGGCTGCTCTGAGCAGGGATGTCATCCTCAAGGCTCAGTGGACCAGGATGTGGGGGCATCTATCTATCTATCTATCTATCATCTATCTATCTATCATCTATCTCTCCCTCCCTCCCTCTTTGTTTGCTTCCGGGTGGTCTGGGCAGACCTGCCCCTCTGCCTAGGCCTTATCTTCAGTACTGCCCTCTGTAGTGCATTCTTCTGGGGCAGCGGTTGACATAGCTTGGATTGGAGCCACCCCCCAAACCTCTC